ACTCAGGAGGCTGAGGCAGGAGAATTGCCTGAACCTGGGAGGCGGAGGTTGCGTGCCATTGCACTCCAGCCTGGGTAAGAAGAGTGAAACTCTGTTTCAAAAAAAAAAAAAAATTAGTGAATCTAGGTAAAAGGTTATGTGCATTCATGGAACTACTCTTTTAACTTTTTGTAGTTTTGAAATTTTTCAAAGTAAAACATTTTAAAAGAACCCACTAGAGCATTAGGCTGTGAGCTGGAGCAATTATTATTCTGTATATCCACCCTTAATGTATTTGAAGTCCACAGTTGTGTTCCTCCAGGGATTCTTTTGAGTTTCTGCAGTAATGAGAAATCTGTGATCCACTGCGCACTGAGTAAATAACATAGTTTGCTTCATTAAGCGTGTATTATTTCCTCTTCTGCATTGGGTTTGAAGTCTAGGCCCTGCCCTTCCAGCTGTAGTCTAATGTCATGGATATGGGCATATAGGTGTGTAATAAATGTTTTCAGTCTTCCTTGTTTTTTTCTTTTATTTTTTTTCAGTTATAAGAATTACACCCTTGTGACTGTCTTTGGAAATTTGCATCAGGCCCAACTGGGTGGGGTGCCTGGGACTTATCAGTTGGTTCGAAGTTTCCTGAACATTAAACTTCCAGCTCCCTTGCCTGGGCTACAGGTACTGACAACTTTCTCTGTGTAATCAATTACACCCTTAGAGCAGTTAGATGGGCATTTTCAGTTAAGATGAGGATATGTGTGGAGACTATGGTATGGAGATGAGACCAGAGAGAGGTGAGGACAGAAAGTGAGCACCTTTTAGGAGGCTGATAATACAGAAGTCCCAGTGGTGGTGGTAGTTGCTCAGCCCAGGTGGAGGAGAGTGCATGGGGAAATGTGACTGGGTTCTGGATGTTTTGAAAGTTGAGCCAGTAGGACTTGCTGAAGAACATGGATTTGAGTGTGAGGGGCAGTCAGGGATGACTTCTGAGATTTTTGGCTAAAACAGCTGGAAGAGTGGAGTTGAATGTGGTTTTTAGGATGTCATCTCTCTTCTCAGCTCATGGTCCAGTTGGGGAGATTATTACACAGTATAAAGAGCCCTGAACTGGAACCTTGTGCAAAGGGTGGCAGGATACAGAGATTAGCTTCATAAAGTGGTGAGATTCCCACTTGCTCTTAAAGAATAGGAGTTCGCCGGGCGTGGTGGCTCACGCCTGTAATCCTAGCGCTTTGGGAGGCCTAGGCGGGTGGATCACGAGGTCAAGAGATCGAGACCATCCTGGTCAACATGGTGAAACCCCGTCTCTACTAAAAATACAAAAAATTAGCTGGGCATGGTGGCGCGTGCCTGTAATCCCA